TGACAGATGGTTTTGCTTTGTTTACCGCCGCGGCGATTAAAAAAAAAAATAAAAAATAAAAAATTGAGCACGGGGGAGAAAACGATATCGCATGTAAAAATATTCGACGCGGTAATCCGAGGCGTCGCGATTAGCATGCGCGTGAGATTTTTCATCTCATTCGTTCGTTTGTAAAAAATTCATTGCGAACGGACACTTCTTTTCAATTCGGCCACCACTACTTGTTGCGCCGTGTCTTCTCTCGATCTGCAATTAGCCTCCTAATGATTTCCTGCGATTAAACGCGAGATCCGAATCAATGTTTTTTTTTTTTTTTTTTTTTTTTTTTAACAATTAACGCAAATACTCGGAATTTTCATGCTCGAATGATTCGGAAATTGATCAATTAATCACGAACGATAGATTCTTTAACGCGATTGAAAGTACCGATATCGGGAGAATTCATTATCTTGCGGCGCGTATACACGCACGCACACGCGCGCGATTCACGCGTCCGCGCGTTTTTGACGCGGACTGTATATCGCAAGATCCGATAAATGTCTATCTGCGATACGTATCGGACCTGTTACGTACGGAGTAATCGCGACGCGAGCGTTTCGCACGCTACGGACGATGAGGAGGAAGAGAGCGGAAGGACGTAATGGAAGAAACAAAGTGCGCGGTTTGCCGTTATAGGAAGTTATTATAACTTCTCCCACTCTCTCTCTCTCCTCTCTGCTCCCTTTGTATATTTAGCGTGGCCAACTGGCGCAACCGTGGCCGTGTCGGCGATACACTCGATTTGGCATCCAGCCACCATTCCCCACGTGCGCGATGACGTCGCAAGGCTGCGTTATCTAACGCAATGCCGTCGCGCGCTTCGTCTGTTTTTTTTTTTTGTTTTGTTTTGTTTTGTTCCCGGTTGTGTTACGCGACCGACGCGTGTGTGCGTACGTCACGCACGGTTTTTACGTTTTATCAACGTTGTCGCGAACGATGTCTGAAAATACGACAGAGTCGCGCGTTCGGAGCGACGTGTCGGAAGATGCAGAAACTTCTCAGCCAAGTAATTCGAGTCCGGAAATGTTTAATTGCTGCTGATCAGTTCGCTCGATCGGTCGATTTTTGTGTAAAAAGATAAGTGGCAACACCAGAAATTGTTAATCCTTTAAAACCCGAATTTTTTTCGTGAGGTAAAAAATGTATGAAAAAATAACAAACCTCCAGATATAAATTAACAATAAATTTACCATTTCCAAGGACTTTGAAAACAAAGTCTGTAAAAATAAAACCTGAAAATCGTAAATTCATTAATTTGTTTCTGCACGTTGATATTTATTTTTTTGCCAGTTTCACGTAAATTCCACTAAAAATTCGGATTAACTTCTATCTAGTCTCGCCATTTTTTTTTTTTTAATAAAAATACATAGAAATTATTTATTTATTTTTTTGACAATCGCAATGAACGATCTTCGTGGTTACGAAGAAGAAGTGACAGAACAAGACGCGTAAGCCACATCGTGGCTGAAAATAGAATTGAATTAAAAGAACATCGAGATGTAAGTGTCACAGTGTGTGACACTTCAAAGTCACACAGAGGATTGCAAACAGCATTTAAACATTTTTTCCGAATTTCTTGTTTATTTCGAACGCAATGGAACAAATAATCGAATTTCAGTGGATTAACAAAAACAAGCGGCGTACAATTGAGAGCCCGATCGATAAGATAATCGCGTCTTCGGGCGAGAACAATAATAGCCTCTTGCGATAGCGCGTCTGACGATTGCGCCATCCGATTTTTGCGTCGCGCGGAGGGCGCACAAAGGAAAGAAGACACGGCGCGCATCTCGCGAATCATAAAAACGGTTTCCCCGAGAGGAACGGCGGAAAACGCGGAATCGTGTGTAACATGAAAGCGACTGCGCCGATCCCGCGTGCCTTGGCAACAACGCGCGATTTCGTCTCTCTCTCTCTTTCTCTCTCTTTCCGCGCTAGGCAACGCTGCAACAACCCGTTCGTCGCAACGATGCACGGCGGCGGCGGCGGCGGTCGCGGTGCACTCCTGGATCGTTGCGTATACACACACACACGCACACATGCACGTGTGTACACGAACGCGCGTCGCGCACCGTTACGGGAGGACCGCGGGAGGGGAAGCCCGGTAACGGCAGGAGGGGAAGGGACTCCCGGCGAAAGATCGGACGAGAGGGTGACGGGAAAACGTCTGCAAATAGACACGTAGCGGAACGAGCGAGACGGCGATCCTCGCGTACTACGCGACGACGGGATTATTCGCAGGGATGAAAGGACGCGAATAAACCACCTCCTCCTTCCTCCGCCCCCGCGTTACGCGGCTAGTTTCGAAACGGGTGCTCGCGCACCCGTCAAGGGCCCCGTTGTCGCGAGAGTGTGTTTTCAATACCGGGAAAACTGCGCACGTGCTCGCGGTCTAATTAGCCGCACCCGGCGCTTTTGTCCTCCCATCCCCACTTCGGCGCTTCGGGTTTTTCAAACAGCGGCAATTCGCAGATTGCAAGCTACGCCGGGATGCTTCTCGGCGCGTTTGCATCCGCAAATAGATTTCCCGCGACGATTTCTCGTCGATTTGTTTTTCTTCTTTGGCGAGTGCTAAAAACAAGAGGATTTTAATCCGGTCCGCGCATTTTTGACGAAGACGGTTTTTTTTATCCCGACTCGGCGGGCAAGTAAGTAACGGCATTACGCCGCGAGGCGTAAAACGAGTCATTATTTGCCGATTGCCATCGAGGAATCATTTCGGAACTGTGTTTTTTCGAAACTCGATGAACACTTTCACGAATTGCGAAAGATCCTAATAGAGGCTGTGCGATTTGGGTCACGGCCTACATTTCGTACTCTCTCTCTCTCTCCTCTCTCTGTCCATCTCTCTCTTCATCCTTGTATCCGCGAAAATTTACGTTATTATACAAGTGTTTATCGCAAAGTTTAACGCTAACGATCTCGCGCATTCAGCGCTGAGTTTTAATTGACGTTAGTGTTTCCTCAGGACAACATTTCCGATAAATCTTGTTACCACGCTGTGTAATTTCTGAACTTGCGCCTTTGATAAAATTGTTGTTGTTATCATCTTCACTAGAAAAGCGATACTGGCGCGTGTCGGCGACACTCGCCCGACTCGTTCGTAAAATTTTTAATACGGGAAATACTTAAAAAAAAAACGCGTGACATTTGTGCCGACTTTTTGCTGCCGGCGAGAGGGAGGAGGAGGAGGTGGCGTGCAAATTCGGCAATAATGAATTAATACCGATGAACTTTGAACGGTGCGTGCTGGAAACTTTCTCGCGACTGCGGACGATTGAACGAGCGGAGGCCGAAGGGAAAGATTCGCGGCGGGGGTGGACGTAAGTGCATCCGAGGTCGGGCGAGCGCGCTATATACGTGTGTACAAGGGGGTTGCACGGACTGCGGCGACAAGAGAGAGAGACCGATGCAGAGAAGAAAGAGAGAGAGAGAGAGAGAGAGAGAGAGAGAGAGAGAGAGAGAGAGGACGGTAAAGGGGAAAGGGTACTATCGGCCTCGGCCACAATCAGCAACTCAGCGGCGCTCAGTTCGTGTCGGATCTCCGTCGCAGTTAGTTCGTAACACGATTCACGTCGCGTTTTGCGCTCGCGTTTTCACTCTCACTCTCTCTCTCTCCTTCTCTCTCTCTCTTCCCTTCTTTCCCTTCGTCTCTCCCTCGTTCCTCCCTCCTGTCCGTAGTTCGCCACCTGCCCGCTCGCCTATCAACGATATACCGAGCACCATCCGACGGGAAGTTGCTGAGCATTTCCCCGAACAATACCTATCTCGCGTTGCTCCGTTTTTCTTTTTGCGTGTGTCAAGTGTGTGTGTGTGTGTGTCTCGCCGATCGAAAGGTGCGAACGAGATCACTCAAGTATCTCTCGAGTGTGTGTGCGTCTTTTTTTTTACGTGTGAGATAAGAAACCGCGATAGGCTTTTGTTCGCGCGTTGCTCGCTTAGACGCACGTGATACAGAAAACCCGCGCGCGAGATCATCGAAGGAGAAACGACCCGATAAAACGCATCATTATCAAAAAAAAAATTCGCGAATTAATTACGCGACTCGCGTGTCTCATCCGCGCGATTGGACATGCGCACGAACTCGGAGCACACGCGACGAATTCTCTCGATCCGCGCGAAAGCGCCGACGGATCTGACTTCGCGGATTAATCTTGATGAATCATTGGATAAGATTAACGTTACGTTTCCCCGTTGATCGCCGTTCTCACGTTACGCGAGCTCGAACGGAAACTTCGCTCGTACGCCAGTCAGTGCGAATTAACTAGCGTTTCAAGTCGCGCGGGACTGGCACCGTGTTTTCCATCGTCGACGATAAACTTCCGACAAGGTCATCGTCGCGAACTCCGAAATGAAAGTTCGATTTTAACGCCAATGTCACTCGACGCGCAGAAACGTGACTTTTCGGAGAAAAAAACGCAATGAAAAAAAACTCGGAGTGCGTGCATGTGCGATTTACTCAAATCGGCACGAAGAAACGCACATGCGCCACGGGGTTTTCAAATCGATCCGACGCGCGAGATACGTACGTGTCAGCTTTTATTAAAATTATCGGAGCGGCACGAATGTGAGAAGAGAATTCGCACAACGACGCGCTCGTCGAACGACGACAAACTGCGAAATCGAGTGTCGTTTTGGTGGTGACGAATTCGAGAGCACGCGCGTTTACCACTCGGAGCAACGCGCACTTGTTTTACGTAATGAAAGCGCGTTCTCTCGCGTTGAGAAGAGAGCGAGCGCGCACTCGCTCATTCGCTCATTCGCTCGTTCGCGCGCGTGCGCCGCGTGTAATCTATCCGTCGTCGAGCCCGCGTCGCGCACACGGCAGTGTGTCCGTGTGAGGGGAAGTGGTGGGGAGGGCTCTTCGATCATCGGGCATTACTGGCCTGTTCGTGCGTTCTCGTGGCTGGTCGGATCGGCGCGGCGACGATCGGGCAAGTTCGTGCGCCGCCGTCAGTCTCGCTTTAGCTCTCGGGGATAACGGACGTCGTCGTCTCAGTGGCGCTTTTTTTTCGCACCGCGAACAAAATTCCGAGTCGCGCGAATCTCCGACGAGCAGAGAGCCCTCCATTCGTCCGATCCCGTCTGATTCGCGGATCGAAACGCCGCGTTCCCGTGCGCGAAACAAGTTCGTTTCTCGGGATCATGTGATCGTCGTTGTTTGCGTTTGTTTCGCGGCCAGTTTTTTCGTCGTGTCTCCCGAACGCGCGCGCGCGCGCGCGCGAATATTGCGCTGGCACGATACGACACAATCGCTTACAACTCTGAATATATCTCCGACAGAGCGAGGTGTGTTGTTTAACTTCTTGGATATACGCGGTCGAGCAGCGTGCGAGCATGGAACGGCAACGCGGCACTGCCCAATGATGGCCATGCCGAGCAGCATTTTGCGTTGACGTAGTGATGTATTATTAGTGATGCGCGTCGCGGGGAAAGTGTGCAAGTGTGCCTCGCGATCGCACTCGTAGCGAGGCTCGTTCGAGTTCCGACTTCTGACTCGCGTCTCGCTTCCGAGATTATTGTGTGCTCCCTCTCTCTTTCTCTCTCTCTCTCACGTCCGGAGGAAGATCGGTGCGAGATCGCGCGGTGAAACGGAAAGTACGCGCGCACAGCAAATTTGTATATTCCGCGTCGCGCCCTCCTCAACGGAGAGAGAGTTCGCGCAGTGAGAATTTTCTATCAGTGTGCGCGACAGTTTTTTCCCGCATCAGTGTGTGGATTTAATCACATTGGATACTTGTCTCTCTCTGGATTATATACTCTGCGAACCGCCCGCCCTCCGCTCCCTCACCCCAGCAAAAAAGAGTTCCTTGTCTGCGAGCAGCACATCCTCAAAATCGACAGTCCGGTGAGTACACACGTTTGTTACGTTGCGCTGCGTTCACTTTCGTGCGAGATCGATGCGAGATCCCAAATTGCGCCGCCGCGCTTATCGCTCGCGCTCTCTCTCTCTCTCTCTCTCTCTCTATCCCTCGATCGGCTGCCATCTTGTTATTTGTAGTCTTCCCGACACTTCGCAAAGAATGTTTACGGAGCGAAATTAGATGTCGCGCGCGCGCGCGTGTTCAACACTCGCAATTTCGTCACACACCGCGAGCGATTTCCATTTCACGGAAAATTCGACGAACCGCTTCGTCGAAACTAACGAAGACTCGCGCGACACTATTAATAGAATCGCGTGTGTGTGTGCGTATGTGTTCTGTATCTTCGTTCCTTGATCGGGAGGAAAGGAAAAAAAAATCAATAAACGTCGGTTGATGAAGCGCGCTTTGTGATTTTTGAGACGAGGTTTGAAAATCGAGCGAGATCTCCAGTCGCCCGCGGCGGGCGAGCGCTCGGTCGAGCAAAGGGCGAGAGAGCACGGCGACGGCGACGGCGGCGTATCGTTTGTTTACGGCGATTACGAAACGGAGCGGAGCAAGGTTCTTTTTTAACCTTCGCGCGGTTCTAAGCGAGAGAGATAAAAGCATTCGCGCGACAGTCGCGCAACTTGACGAAGCAACCGAACCTGTAGTTAGTCGCTCCCTCAATGATTGCCACTTATTGATTTTTTTTTTTCCAGTTGTATTCCGTGGTTTCTTTTTTCTCGCTTGACGTTGCAGCGGAATCAATTTGAATTTTTTACGGCAACATCAGAGTCTTCTGGTCGACGCTCGTGAAAAAAAAAAAAAGAAAAAAAAAGAAAATTGACAGGTCTTTAAAGCATCAATCATTGGGTGTTTTATTTCCCCGTGTTATAATTCGCGTGTTCCCCGAGCGCGCGATCGGAGTCGCGCGAGTTTATTGTGCTCGCGTTTTGCGCATTGTATCCGCCGCCCTTTCGTCACGGCGCGCTGTCTAACCTTGAAGCGTGTCTGCGGAAGTAATAATAACAATAAAAAAAAAAAAAATGTTGGTATCGTTAGTGCCGTTAGAAAATTTTTCCGATTCCGTGTGTCGAGACCGGTTTTAACATTATGCTTTTGACACTTCGATCGCGCGTGTCGCTTTTTTCATTGAATTTCTCTCGAGCAACCGTGTCCAGCTTTTCCGAGTGCCGCAATTTTGTGTGCTATTTCGCGCATCGCGACATATATTATTCAAGCCGCGTGTGAATTACACCCCGGACTAAGAGAATATTTTTTTCCCCGACAAGAATTCGTTTTTGCTACAAAAAACACTCGTCGACAGCTGACGTGCGTGTTTCTCTCCGGGGTTTGAACGAAAAATTTATACGACGGGCGCGCGCGCCTTGTGAAAAATTATTTTTGTGCTTGTCGAATCAAGTTTGTTTTCGCACGATTGACAGCAAGAAGTTAATGACCCCCGCGCGCACGCGCGCGCGCGAAATTTCCTGTTTGCTTTTTCGGCGAGCTTTCAATCCGTTCGCATACCGCGGGAGATTCGCGTGTAAAAAAAAAAAAAAAAAAAAAAAGATGGTAAATCGGAAATTACCGTGGCGGATCAATTTTCTCGACGTGTGTTCAACGCGTGAAATAAGAAACACCTGTTATACCGAGAACGTCGGTCGTGACGTTGTTTTCCCCTTCTGCTTTTCGAGAATTAGACCAGATGCGCGAAACGATACGGGGTAATTGAGTTTTTTAATTGACGGCGTATAATTAACCGTGGAAAAAAACTGTCACAGAACGTTTTCGCGCGACAATAATCCTCTCTCGAAAAATTGTCAACACGTTCGCGCGCGATCGAATCGAGTCGAGCCTTGTCGCGGAAAATGGCCGTCGACCACTCGTCCAAAATGTTTTATTTTTGCACAAGAAATCGAAAAGTCGTAATTGAGAAAGAAATGAGCAAAATCGTGAATATGAACGTTAATGTTTGAAGATGCGCGCAATGATGGGACATGATCCGTGACTATCTCTTCCCGAGACCACGCGAGGGAAGGGTCCTCCTCTCCCCCTTCGGTCCCCTCTGAATTATTCACGAGAACCCGTCGTAAAGAGCCGGCAAATCGCATCGCATGCGATTCGGGCGTAGTCCCGCGTACAGGAAAAACGAGATCAGTCTGTTCGTGTTCTTCGAAAGAGCGCGCGCGTAGTGAAAATATTTTAGACGCGTCTGAAGAGAAAGCGATTCTCTCGAAGCGCACCGCTGAAACTTCCGATGGTCGCGCGCTCCTCGGTCACGGTGTAGTTCGCGTTCTCTTCGCCGTCAACGATATTATTTCTGGCACGGCACCAGCGACGGGTTTGCCGATCGATCGTCGTCCTCGAACGGACGATCGCGACGACGTCATCGTCGTGTGTGTGTATTTGACGTACATGTGCCGCGTCGCCGATCGATCGCGTATCCGCCGTCCTTTCGGCGCGGAGGGTGGGAGAGGCGGACGGGAGGTAAGCGCGAAACACGTTTACCGAGACCCCGGAAATAATTACCGCTAAGCAGAACCCCGAGTCGCGTCTCGGCAAATTGAATTGGCTTCGAGCGCCGGTTTCTCTCTCTCTCTCTCTCTCTCTCTTTTCTTGGCAGCCGTCGTCGGCCAATCTCTTTGGGTATGTGTGATCCGAGAGACGCAAAACCTCCTCCTCCTCCTCTTCCTCCTCTCGTCGTTAATTCTTCTCCTTCGCGCTTTGCTCAGTTTGTTTGCAAACAAACGCGTATCCGCGATTTCGCATTCTGTTCCCGCTCCTCCTCGCGACACGACTTGTCGTCGTGTTTTTTGCTTTTTTTTTTTTTATTCGCGCGTTCGATCTCGCAGGCTCAATAAAAAAATATATATGTACGGTCGAACGTGATCGCGCTCGTGTTATCGACAGCGAGTTCTTGTGCATTTGATATCGCGCTCTGATCCGCGCGCGTGCAAATACGGAAAGTCTCTGACGTTTTTTTTTGTTTTTTTATTTTGAAAAAGCTCTCGCGTAGTTTTCGCAACAAAACACCTCGCATGCTAACGAGAAGGAAATGTATGAATAATCGGTCTTATTAAATCGCCATTATCGGCTTAATGAGCGCGCGACAACAAAGATGCAATATTTAATTCGCTGGAAACTCGCTCGCTTGGAAATTTAAATAAACAAGAAAACTGTGGATTTGAAATGTAAATGTGTGTTGCGACACTGTGTGCGTGTGTGTTTTTTATGACAAGAGCGAGCGCGGAGATTCGGTGAATCTCGTGTGTGCAAAACGTCGTCGAGAGTAATTCGATTATGCTGACAAATAATTTATGCGCGCGAAGGAGCAGTTCACTCGCTCGCCGAGAAAGAAGCCGAACTTTTGGAATTATTTCTCTCTCTCCGAGAGGAAGAAGATCGTTTTATTGCTCGCCGACATTTTCGGAAACTTTGTCGAGTCGTCGGAGGCGAAAACTTTTTCTCGGTTTCTGAGATTTCGCCCGTTTCGAGAATTTGCCGAGTGAAAAAAAAAACTCATGCATTTTTGTCGTCGTGAACGCACGTGTGTTTCGTCATTGGTCGCTGTCGAAGTTTTGTACCTGCGTCGCGAGTTGATGGAAAGAGTCGAACGGAGAAAGTTACGGGGAATTGTCGCCGTCGGTGTGTTATCGTTTTGACGACGCGTTTCGGTTTCGCAAAGAGCAGCTTTCCGCACTTTTTTTTTCGTTTCGCAATCACCCAACGAATTGCGAGGTTACAATCGCGCCTTATTAGCGTTCGTTTGTGTTTGCGCCCGAAGTTCATCGCGCACAATCCGCGCCGCGGTCACGGAGCGATTTACTTTAAAGGTTCCGTGTCGCTTAACGTGAAAGCGGCCGTGCTCTCGTGCGTCACACACGTGTGCGATTTCTCCTCTCGATCGACGCGTGCACATTCTTTCACGATTCATCGGACGCGTTCGTTGGCTGATATCCAGTTTTTGATCGCATTAATAATGATATTTTTATTATAAAGACACGCAAGACACAGTTGAATTATGTCGCCGCGATCAGGAACGAGACCTCGCGAACATTTGCGCGAGTTTTTCTCCTCATCTCCGGAAAAAGCTTTTCGAAAACGAACGAACGAACCGGTCGAAAGAGAGCAGAAACTTTTCTCGCTCGAAGATCGGAAGAAACGATTCTGTGCTCTCGGCCCGAGTGCGGTGCGTTTTTTAAAATTTTTTTCTTTGTAGATTTCTACAAAATGTACAACTTATAAATGATAATTTTGATTTACGATCGCAATTTGAAACTCGGGACGCTAGAACTTGCAGCTCCTCTTTGAAAATAGAAAACTTTACGACCGTTTTTTCCTACTAAGCGTAGTCTCGGGTTCCACCCTTGATATAATTGCTTTCATGTGGGAAACATTGTCGTCTCATCTTCAATGCGCTATTGTTTTCTCAATTTCTAATTTTAAAGTATCTCGTATCAAATGTTTTCATAAGTTCTTTTTCTAGATTGTATTGTTATTCTTATCTTCGAGAAACGAGATATGCAAACGCAGGAAAACATACAACCCAAATACTTATCTTATTTCACTGACAACTTTTCGGAAGTCCTCAATGTCCAAAAGTGATACAATTGACAGTCGATGTAAAATTTTCAAAATCTAAAAACCTCAACAGATACGAACAAAATGGACATTTGTGACATTTTTTTGAGAAATGAAAGTTTTAAATATTTTGATACGCCAATACTTCACCTCGCGCTATTCTAAAAACTTTTCGAAAAAGCTTTAAAAATTCTATTCGTGTTGTTCTAATTTTTCAACAAAAGTTAATAATATATAAATACACAGTTTTAACATTTTTTCTTCGAGAAATAAAATTTGTAAAATTGTTTGAAACACCGATATTCTAAACCCGCGCATATTCTGAAATTTTATTTGTATTGTTTTAACAACTGAAAAGGTGAAATATAAATAAAACAAACAGGTTTTTTAACAAGTAACATTTGGAAACGCGTTGACACAC